TGTTGCCTATCCTCAACGAAATCGGCGATCGTTCTATTCTAATGCACGCTCACATGTCCCCCGCATAGTGCAGACGTTCCTTCAACAGAACAATATTGAGGTTTTAGCCTGACCAGCACGTTCTCCTGATTTGAACCCTATTGGGCATTTATGGAATAACCTCGGAAGACAAATAAGAGCGCGTGCAACACTTCCTGATACACTGCAGGACCTTGAAAGGGCTCTTCGGGAGGAATGGGCTATCCTCCAGCAAAGGGACATTTCCCGACTGGTGGAAAGTATGCCGATGCGTCTTCAAGAAGTAGTGAAGACAAGAGGAGGAAACACGCGCTACCAAACGATGATGTAATTAATTTCTTTTAGAATAATAATGGTCCATTTTTCAATTTTTTTTTCTCTAATCTTTCTTACCCAATCACATTTTGATTATTAAAGGTAAAAAAGATTATAAAATTCCACAAATACTAAGTATTATCTACAAATACCATGTATTATATACAAATACAACTTTTTTTTACAATATTTTTAGATGAAAACATGAAAAATTCAAGTGGGTTGAATTTTTTGCCTGTCAGAGTATATTCTATGGAGAAATAATACTGTAGGCTGAACTGTTTATGCTGATGGAGGGTCAAACTGTCATACGCTCCTTGCAGGCACTTTTCAATGACGATCCTGGAGTAACCATTGTGTTTTAATATTTCTCTTATTCGTTTAATATTATCCTCCTTAAACGAAATTGAACTCAGAGCAATGGCTCTATAAAACAGGTTCTTTGCCCCATTTATTTTTATGCCTAAATCATGGTTTGATTTAAAATTTAATATTCTGCCGCCATTATTTTTTCTTTCATACCATGATACTGCTATGTCATTTTCAGTCTTAGTGTATCTCTCTAGCAGTCGAGAGCTTAACTAGTGCTTCTCCCTATCTTATATGATTTAAACAGTGACTTGAAGACTTTTTCGCTATTGTTTTTCACAATTACTTCATTTCGTAATATCACATTAATATTACAATACAGTTATTTATGGTGATAGTAGTTATATAGTGAAAAAAGAAAAAAAAGGACGTGATAGAAGCAGCTGAGTTGGAGTAGTGGGGACAGCTAGCATCAGCCTAATCCTACCAGCCTTCACCCAAACAAACAGGTGCCTTTGTTGTTGATGTTATTAATTTCGTTTTCTCTCATTTTAAAGCAATTGTGACGTATATTTATCTATTTTATTTTTTCAAAATGGTTAATTGCAAACTATGCAGAAAAACGGCAGGTAGAGAAGACAAGACTAAATTGGCTTGTGTCACATATCAAAACATCTTTCATGTTAAATGCACGAAAATTGATTTGACAGACTCAGAAGGCCTAAAAGAAGCCAGTAAAAAATGGAAGTGCACCGATTGCGAAACAGGGTCGCTTACATTGCCAGCCACTGAGTCTAATACTATGATAGACTTACTGAGGACTCTGGCTGGGGAAATAAGGGAATTGAAGTCCAAGCTTCAGGGTTTAGACGAACTAAAGGAAATAAAAGAAACCCTCCAGAAGCAATTGGAACTATCTTTCGAGAATATGGAGCGATTATTAAAAATTGAAAATTGAAACACTCCTGGAAGAGCAAAAAAACCATACTGAAAAATTAACCAAGGACAATAACACATTGAAAACCAAAATATCCGAGCTGAAAAGCTGCCTGAATTCCACAGAGTAGTTTCAACTGAAAAATACAATTGAAATCAGAGGAATTCCGGAGAAGGCCGGCGAAACCGTAACTGGTACGATTCTTAGCGTGACTCCAGGCCCAATTATAGTAAGATTCATCAGACAAGCGGTGAGAGATAAGCTGGTGCAGCAACGAAGAGCGAAGAGAGATTTCTCTACGCACCATCTAAGCTGGGGAGAGAACGACTCGCACCGCGTCTACATGAGTGAAGCCATGATGCCCACCAATAAACACCTTTATTGGTTAGCCAGGCCGAAGAGGGTGACAGCAAAAATAAGATATGTCTGGTTCAGTGGGGTTAAAATTCGTTGCAGACAATCAGATGGAGGTCCAGTAGTAATTATAGAAAAACCAAGTGATCTGGACGTTTTCAGCTGAACTCTGTATATAAAGTTACCTTCAGCTTGCAATTAATTTACTTTCTCTCACTAGAAATATATTTATTATATATTTTTTTCATTTCCAGCTTTCTTTATTTTTTTTTTTACAAATGTGGCTTCTCTTGTTTTTTTTATTTTTGTATCAATTTTTACTCATCAGAAATATTATTATTTTAATTTTAAGCTTCTTTTATTTTTGTATAAATTATTTAGAACTTTATTCGATTCCTTGCCAGTTTTTATCAATTTATCTAGACCAAGGAGAAATTTATATTTTCTTATGTTAAAAATTAATTTTAACTGAATATTTATTTTGAAACACCGAAAATTTATTTTTTTCATCTCAAAGTTTATTTTATGTTAGCATTGTTTTTTATATTTCTAAACTTGACAGTATGCTTAAAAAATGCTATATCCTATCCTCCATCCTCGATCATTTTTTTTTCCCTAAAATCCTACTTCACAACTCTCCAGTCATGACTAATATCCTGAATTCCTGGCACATCAATGCACAATTCCTTACTGTACACTATGATGAATTTCAGGAACATTTCCTTGATAATTTTTACCACATAATAGCAATATCCGAAACCTGGTTAAAAGCTTTTATCCCTTCCTCCCAGATTTTCCTACCCAATTATTCCTTCCTACTATTGTAATAGTATAGGAAAGTAAAATTTGTAAATAGTTATTACTGTAAATATGTATATAAATTATTAGAGCGTTCTTCATTATTTTTATTTCATGTTTATTTTCAATTTTTTGTTTTTTATTTTTAACTGATCTAAATTAGTAAGTAACTTATAATTTTTTCTATTATTTTTTTATTTTGACTATTTAATTACTCTATATTTTTGTTTATGTATCTCTAAGGCTCCTTAACCCACATTATTGTCTTTTTATATTATTCTAAAGGGACTCGTCCCATAATAAATAAAGCATTATTATTATTATTATTATATTCTTGTATCCAAAAAGGTAATGGAATTGTCTTGTTCAATCTCCATACTATATTTTATGTGTGGATCTACATTAAAATATTCCAAAATATTATTTAAATGGGTGGTGGGGACACTCAATATCGTATCATCAACATATTTTTTTATAAACTGTACCTCTATAGGAATGGTGGAAAGTATTTTTTCTACTAGATCATCCATTACGAATTCCACCAGTATGACCTATTCCCAATGACTATGACAAATTCCACATTTCATGACCTATTATCCGACTATAATTCATATCTTAAGTTATATATATATATATATATATATATATATATATATATATATATATATATATATATATATATATATATATTGTAATGTACACCTTATTGGAAGTGAGTAAAAAGGTTTTAATAAATTAATGTTGAACAGTTAAAAGGCAAGCCAATCTAGTTCTAGTAGTGCAGGGAAAAGAAAATGACTTCTCTGTAGTTTCCCATGAAGGAAAATCTTAAAGAGGAAAGGGACAAAGATTTTTGTTTTGGCAAGCAGTTATTGTGTGACTGCAGTGAAGAGAGGATAGGAGAAGTGATCCTGGCTCCAGTGGGTAAAACCCAATAATAGTATTACCACCTTGGAAAGTTGTTGTTTGGCAGAGAGACGAGTTGTTTGGAAGTAGAAGAGAGAGTATCTCCCAGGGAGCTTAAGTTGCATAGAAGAAAGTGTCACCATTCTGGAAGATTTGTTTAGCAGAACATGGGAAAATGTTACAAGACAAATGAACTTAGTGCAACAAATGAAGAAACAGTATGTATAGAAAAGAGGTTAGCTTGCCAATCCATATTTGACTTTATTTTAAAATCAAACAGTGTTTAGTATAAATAGTTAATGTTAGTTTGTCTGAGTTTTTTGATCTGATTGTCAGTAACCCACGCGTGAGATAAATAAATATATTAAAACTCTTATAATTTTGTTTATTATTTAATTTTAATTTAATTTATTTAGGAAGTATCCTAATAGTATTAAAGTGATTTTCCGAGGTTATGTTAGCGTTATTTGTAAAATATAAGAGGGATGTTACCATATATATATATATAATTGGTTACACTATTTTTGATCTGCACTAAAAGGGTTAAACACATTTTAATTCTTTTGACATCTTTATCAGTCTTCTCTACATTTGTCTATTATTTTCCATTTGGTTAGTATTTTGAATTCTTACCTCTGTTATCTTACAGGACCATATAAAATTATAACTTCCTTATTTTTTGTTCTGTGCAAGCAGCTCCTGATGCTGTACCTTATAAGCACTGTCTCAGTATTTTTAATATTTGATGAAGAGGCAGATTTAGATAGGAGGGGCCCTAAGCATTAATCATTTCGCAAGCTCAAACAAACAAATAAATTAATAAAATACTCATGAAAACACAGACCAAATGTTACAAAATTAAGAGCCAACATTTATTTTTAGGATTGTTTTATTATTATGTATAGTTTTTTTTTCAACCTTTGGTGTTATATTTGGCAACTTAGTCCACTTACCTCTCAATTTGCCAATGAGTGAATGATGTTAAGATAATGTTATTAACCTTTAACTTCAGCTGGAACCCACTTATCTTGGCTCAAAATGAGCTTCTGTAAAAAAATGATTAATTAACATTTGTCATCATAGTCAGAAGTGGTTCATTTTTCATTTTATAGTTAAGGTTTTTTAGTAGGGAATGTTGTTATACCGTAAACTGTATTTAATTGAGCTAATGTTTGTTGAAAAAAGATAGGTAAAATGAGAAATTTAGAGAAGTGAGCTAATTTGCTGATGCTATTGAATAATTTCTATCCAATAGCTGCTTTACTTTATAAACACTACTTCATAAATAATTGAATTTGTAAACTTAATAGATAATGTTCAGTATATAGCTGGTTAAAATTAATAACATTTTTTAAATTTTCAGAGCAATGGATCAGAACCAGTTGATTTTAATCAAGGCGTTGTATTTTATTTAAAAAATAAAATTGTTGTTGGAATGGTTCTGTGGAATCTTTACAACAGAGTTTCCATTGCAAGAAGGGTAATTTTGATATTTATTTTTTAGTATTTATAACTAATTTCAGTTTGTATTATATCTAAGTTTTTTCCCCAATAGGTGTTGAAAAGTGACGTTCCATTTGACGATTTATCTGAGGTTGCCAAGCATTTCAAATTTCATTAGGGCTAGTTTTTATAAGATATTTTCAGAACCCTGTTGTGAATTGAAAGTAGACTACAATTATCAGGTGTTTCAGGTTTGTTTCAATAAAAAAATTAAATTGAATTACTTTTGACATGATGTGAAGACCATAGACTTAGGCAGAGTTCAAGGTATTCTTATTTCCTACTCGTGTCACTTTATTATTCTTTAAAAAACTGGTGTAACTTTTAAAGTCATTGCATTTTGTTTCAATCATTCCTCATGGGATATTTGTTATAAAGCTTTTATCATCTTTATGTTAAAAACAAAAACAAAATCACTGCAGTTATGCCTTACGTATGGTAAGAACATATTTATGTTTCATGATGTTTGGACTAGGAATAATACAATAGAGAGAAAAAAAATTATTGTTAGTATTTTATATTAATTTGTTTTATTATCAAATCACCATTAGCTAATGATTATTTTTATTTCTCATAATTTGATAAAAATATTTATTTATTTATTTGTATATTCCTAATTCGCAATCTGTATTTCTTTGCTATTTATAGATTAATGAACTTTAATTGTTCAGTTACTATTAATAATATAAGGCATTTTCTATGCATACCTTATAGTAACATTTTCTATTTTATTCATTATTGTACTATTCTTTCTGATGTATTAAATATGACTAGATAATCAAGATTGATTTAAAATTCTATTAAAATAAATAATAATCTAGGCCAGTCATGCAAGTAAACTGTTGCGCTCATTAGAAAATTATGGATCATGTACATACTTGAACGCTGGCTGAGATATCCAGAGTAAACAAGTATATAGCCAAAAGAAGATAGCCTTTTCCATCACACTGCTTTTAAGAAAAATCTTAGCAGTTAAAAATATTATTAGGAAAATTACTGTTAGAAAAATCACATTAAATTTCAAAAACTGTATTGGAATATAGTTAGATTAAAGCTGTTTTCAATGTATTATCATTCCTGATACAATGATAGGAAATATAATTACCTACTCATTTGCTTTTTATGTTAGACAAATTTATTATTATTATATTTTTGTCTCAGTTAATTAAATGATACTATATGGAAATATAGTGATGTTACTTAATGCTGAAGTTACCATATTGATTTTTTGATAAAACTGTAAAGTAACAAAGAATGGATTAATTTGTAATTAGATCATTAAATAATTTTCCATCAAAAACTGTGCATTGTATGCATTGTATTGTAGTTATTAATGCTAAATGCAAGTTGTATCATTATGCAATAAATGTATTTCATTTATTTAATTTTTTTTATATATACAATTTAAGGCTCTTAGTTAATTTAAACAAAAAATAAAATTATGTTTAAACTATTAATAGATTACATCTCATGTACCACAATTGTATTAAATATGTTTTATAACTCAATACAATTTTTTTCATTAAATTCTATCAAACATTTTTTATTACCTTACTTGTTGTCCATGTGAATACATTATTTTCATTCTAAACAGTGAAAAATTCAAAAAAGGTTTTCTTTCATAGCTTATAAGATTTTCATAAGAAACATAGTTACAGAAGTAATTTAAAATAATAAGCATAAATGAAAAAAATAATATATGTGTATAATTAAAGATTACAGGATATTTTACAGAAAATAGGTTTTAATTAATAAGACAAATTTTTAGTGTAAATGTATGAATAAATTTGTCAAATCAACTAAAATGTAAATTAATCATTGTATATATATAATCATTATAATTTCTCCAATGTAATGCCCTCTCCATGAGAACTTCAATTGCTTGCATAATAAAATATCTATACATATCTTATCTTTTCTCAGCACTGATGACAGTATGAAGCTTAAGCCAAAACATTAAAAAAATTTTGTATTTATTTTATTTTTTCACTGTGACTGACTGCAACCCTAACGAACATTTAAAAATTAAATTTAAATATTTAAGTTAAAATAAATATTATCAAGTTTATTTATTTTCAGCCAATTTTCAAAATTTTGTCAACTTAATGACTACACATCTGATTACGACGTATCGGCTCGTTGAGCCATTTTCAAGTCTAAAATTTTTTTTACAATTTACAGTCATATTTAAAACATTACATACTTCAACATATAGAGATTCTTTTTATATACTTAGAATACCAATCATGAACCTGTCCTTTTCAACTTATGCGAATTGCATGCGTCTACTCATTTAAAAAAATTTTATTATTGTCATGTCCACCTTTAATTATTTTATAACATTATTATTACTCAATTATTTATTATTAAATGATTCAAATAAGTTAAAATTACCTTATAATGTGTCACCAACATCTCATCAGCCTCATTTCAGTTTCGTGACTGGTTATTCTTAAAGGAGTAGGGGAAGACTATTTATTTTAAATATATACAATGATGTTTCCCAATATTATATATGGATTTATTTTAAGTACAATTAGCTAATTCAGTTCATATTTTTATTTTTTCTATCGAACTCGCGTAAAAGGTATTCATATTATCCACATCTGTATGATTATTTACAGAGTTTTTTTAATTTTTAGCTATGTATATTGCTTCTTTTATTCTACGTTTATTCATGTTACTTTCATTATGTAGGATTTTGGCGTTATTGAAATCAAATTCATGTTTTGTTTGCATAGTGTGCTGAGAGAGCCCAGTAGCTAATTTAATTTTTGTATTTTTTGAATTACAATTTTTTTTGTGCTGTTTAAGTATTTTTTCAAATCATTGTGATGTCTGTCCAATATATGATTTGTTGTTGCAATTTTTACAATTTATTTTATAAATAATTATCGTTAATTTATCGGTGGGTATTTTATCTTTAGTTTTGGAATAAATTGTATCTATTCTATTAATAGGTTAATTGGAGAAATATTGTGAATATTATTGACTGGGAGGCCTGATAAAGACCCAGAAAACATGCCGAAGGACGAAGTGTGGAAAAATTGGAAATTTACAGTTGTAAATATAATAAATGGTAATGTAAACCTATCATGTACATATAAATTTCTTATTAATTTTTCAAAAATTTCAAAGATAAACAATAAAATATTTTATTTAAAAAAATGTAAATACTCAGACACGATACCGCAACACTTGTTGAAAAAAATTATGCCCTTAGAAAATCTATTTAATACCTCATTTCTGACAAATTACAAAGAACAAACAAATAATTTATTCAATAAATTAGCAAAAGATTGTTTATTACTTGAAATTAAACAATGTTATTGGGCATTAAATACCTATAATAAAAATCATGAAATCTTTTTAAATATATTAAAAGACATACATTTAGATATATACAATGATGTTAATAAAATAATTTCGAATTACAAAAATAATTATGTTAATTTTCATAGATTGAGATTAGAAGCGAAAAGTAAAAGACCATATAAAGCCTGCATTAAAAAACCATACACTGATGTTAAATATAATAATACTATATCCATTACAACTAAGAATTTGGATAATAGACTCATAGATAAACAACATATAAAACGTAATAACATAGTTAAATCCTATGAAGAATTGCACACTAAAGGTTGGGTGGTTAATACTACTGAAACTAATATTGCAACCAACATATTAAACGTATTATCACTAGGGGACAAATTCAATGTTATACCTAATAAATATAACCTTGAAATAGTTAATATAATAGCTGATGTCGAAAATATAATTAGAACACAACACTCCTGATAATCATAAAAATATAAAAAGAAATAGAGTAAATAACCACATAAATGATTTCATTGACAAAAATAATAATAAACAGAATATCTCAAATCAACCCCTACACAATAAAATTAACAAAGATATAATAGAAACAAAACAATTTTTTAAAAACCATCCAGAATTATTAATCATAAAATCAGATAAGACAAAGAAAACTGATTATTACTAAAACTGAGTACGATAAAAAAATGCATGACCTACTGGATGAACGCCTAATATATAGATGCCTTAGGAAAGACCCCTCCAATGCCAAGTGAAATCCAAGATAAAATCTTGACTTATATAAATAAGTTAATGAAAATGAAATTTATGAACGAAAAGGTTAAAGAAAAACTGATAACGAGACATTACACAATACCACGAATACATGGTCTCAGTAAATTACATAAAGATGACACACCTCTAAGACCAATTGTAAACAATGTAAACGGCATAACTGAGAAATTAGCAAAATTCCTTAACTCAGCCTTAAAAAATTTGAACAACAATAATGGATATGATGTAAATAATGCAATGCAAGTAAAAGATAAAATTAATTCGTATAAATAAGATAGATAAAAACGAAAAATTAGTAAGCTATGACGCGGAATCCTTATTTACGAACGTTCCACTTAATGAAATATACAAAATATTGGGGAAAAAAATGGGATGAAATTGAACCGTACACTGATATAAAAGATAAAAATGTTTTTATGGAAGGTATTAAATTAATTTGCGAAAATGGCTATTTCTCCTATAATAATAAATATTACAAAATGAAAAATGGTCTACCGATGGGCGGATGTATGTCAATCAATCTTTCGGGCATATATCTTAATAATTTAATAGATAATGCTATAATTAAATTGGAAAGAAAACCGACGCTTATAAAATACGTGGATGACATACTTGCAATAATAAATAAAAATGAATCTGTTAATTTTCTTGATAAACTAAATGATATATCAGATAAACTTAAATTCACAATGGAAAGTGAGAATAACAACAAAATAAGATATCTTGATATGTATATTGACAGAAGCGAAAGTGGCGATCTCAGCACGTCATGGTGCGAAAAAACAATAACCAGTAATAGAATCCTTAATTGGCACAGCAACCATAAAAAACATATAATAATTAATACAGCTAAAAATTTAATAGACAAAGCAAAATTAATAACCTATAAAAATCATATGAAAGAAATCAAAACACAATTATATGAAATGCTATTAGAAAACTGGTACCCCATTCGATTAATAAATAAATTGTGGTATAAAAATAAAAAGTTGGTTAAAAATGACAATAGTAACAAAGCGATAAAAGATATTAGGGATGATAAAAGCGAGAATGAAAACCAAAATAACAAAATTAATAAAGAACCGAATTTAATAACAAATTATTTTAAAACCGAAAATGCAGTAAACCAAAAACCTTCCATAAACGATATACAGGACATTAAAACACAAAATGAAAAATATAATAAAAACAAACAACCTAAAAAATATTTTAGCGTCACATATATTAGAAATTTAACGGACAAAATAGAAAGAACATTTAAACAATATGATGTAAATGAAATTAAATTTGCAATCAAACCTATTAATAAAATAGATACAATTTATTCCAAAACTAAAGATAAAATACCCACCGATAAATTAACGAATATTATTTATAAAATAAATTGTAAAAATTGCAACAACAAATCATATATTGGACAGACATCACAATGGTTTGAAAAAAGACTTAAACAGCACAAACAAAATTGTAATTCAAAAAATACAAAAATTAAATTAGCTACTGGGCTCTCTCAGCACACTATGCAAACAAAACATGAATTTGATTTCAATAACGCCAAAATCCTACATAATGAAAGTAATATGAATAAACGTAGAATAAAAGAAGCAATATACATAGCTAAAAATTTAAAAAACTCTGTAAATAATCATACAGATGTGGATAATATGAATACCTTTTACGCGAGTTCAATTGAAAAAATAAAAATATGAAATGAATTAGCTAATTGTACTTAAAATAAATCCATATATAATATTGGGAAACATCATTGTATATGTTTAAAATAAATAGTCTTCCCCTACTCCTTTAAGAATAACCAGTCACGAAACTGAAATGAGGCTGATGAGATGTCGGTGACACATTATAAGGTAATTTTAACTTATTTGAATCATTTAATAATAAATAATTGAGTAATAATAATGTTATAAAATAATTAAAGGTGGACATGACAATAATAAATTTTTTTTAAATGAGTAGACGCTCAAAATCCTCTTCATCCTAATATACCTAACCACCAACAACAAATTCCTCATATTCCTCTTTCTTCAAATGCAACAGATCTCAAAAGTGTGTTAGCATCTTTCCTCACCGATTTCAAATCCCTTGTTACTCCACTCATATCACTCCTCACCACTAGCGGATCCAGGATTTAATTTTGGGGAGGGCTTCAGCCCGAAAGAATTTTTTTTCATATACATATAACAATAACTTTTTTTTTTAAAAAAGAAAGAAATTAACTACCTATATGAAATGGTGTTTAAATGGTTCTTGAAGTCCTATTAAATGTAATTAAACGAACAAGTATACTTTAAGAGGTTGTTTTTAAAAAATTTTTCTGTATATTTCACCATTTGGGGGGGGGGGCTT